TCTCTTGAGATATAAAAGACAGAAGTGAGCAGTGAGACAGGGGGACCTCATACCATCAAGAAAGCAGTGCCAGGAGCAGAGCACATCCTTTAGACAGGGGTCCCTGCACCGAGAAGCTCCTAGGCTGGGGGAACACTGATGAGAAGGCTGACAGAGAGAGAAAGACTTCCCCTGGAGCTGACGCCCTGAATTTGGACTTTTAGCTACTTTGACTGTGAGGAAATAAACTTCTCTTCGATAAAACCATCCACTTGTGGTATTTCTGTTATAGCAGCACTAGATGACTAAGACACTCCTTTTCCCTCCTTCCTAAGGGCATCAAGAAAGGCTTCATGGGTTGACTGGACTGACTCCCTGGTTTCTGACAAGGTAGGTAAAGTTACATTGTTCTGGAAAGGAACCTACGAACATGGTGGGGTCACAATGGGAGAAGTATCTCAGATTCAATTTTGGATAATGAATTGGTGAGTCAATGGACTTCTGTGAAGATATCCAGAGGCAAATGGATATAAGCATCCAAAGTTCAAGGAAAAATACTTGACTGAAAATATCTTACTATTAATATCACAAAGCCTTCCTGTAAGACTACAAGTATTATCAACCAGGACCAGTCTGCTGAGTGAGAAAAGGGCCAGTTGTTTGTCCATTTTGAAGATTAGGCTGAAGGGACAGAAAGCAGGTGGGGGTGGGGGGCCCTGGCGGATAGGAGGGAATGCGGGTGGGGGAGGAGTGGGGGACCCTGAAAGAATTGAGGAAGAATGATCATATATAAGTAATACAACCAGGACATTGTTATAGAAGCTGAGAATGAGATTTGAAACAATTTTAAACCAAGAACTCTGGTGCTAGTTTACTCAGAATATTTCACTGAACATTCGCTTCGTGGCAAGGGCAATTTCTTAAAGCATCACCAAATGTCAAATCTAAAAGACTGCTGATTTACAGATGATATTTAGTTCATCTCTATGGGCTCTTTAACATTTTGTGCACTGGTAGAAGTATTCAGATCATCTGGGGTTTATGTATGAATGAGTGTATAAGGACTTTTCAAACCATTCCCCAAATTACTATTGCCTTAAACACAAGTCATATTTTAAAGTATTTTGGTGATAAAGGGAAGAAAATGAGCCCTGGTGGCACAGTGGTTAAGAGCTCGACTGCTAATCAGAAGGCTGGCAGTTCAAATCCAGCAGCTGATCCTTGGAAACCCTATAAGGCAGTTCTACTCTGCCCTCTAGGGTTGCTATGGGTCAGAATCCATTCGATGGCAATGGGTTTGGTTTTGTTTTTTTTAAGGAAGAAAATGTTGAGATCATCACTAGCTCAAAAACTCTTTAGGCCAAAGGTTAGCATAGCAAACTTTTCTTCTGCGAAGGGACAGATAGTAAACTTTTTCTGCTTTGCAGGCCATGTGGTCTCTGTCATAACTACATTGTAGCTCAAAAGTAGCCACAAATAAGCGTGGCTGTGTTCAAATAAAACTTTGACAGACACTGAAATTTGAATTTCACATGATTTTCATAGGTCATGAAATATTCTTTGGATTTTTCCCAACCATTTTTTTAAAAACGTGAAGACTATTCTTAGTTTGTGAGGTGTATAAGAAACAAGTGGTGGGCTGGATTTGATTAACGGGTTGTAGTCTGCCAACCCCCGCTTTAGGCTAATCTAAAGTCCAAACCAGGGTCCCTGGGTGGCACACATGGTTAAACACCTGACTACTAGCCAGAAAGTTGGCGGTTTGAACCCACCCAGACGTGTCTCGGAACACAGGCCTGGTGAATCTGCTTCCAAAACGTCAGAGTCTTGAAAACCCCGTGGAGCAGTTCTACTCTGCACACGTGGGGTCGCCAGGAGTCAGTCAACTTGACAGCAGCTAACAATATCCAAACCAGAAAAAACAGCTGCCATCAAGTCAATGACTCATGGTGACCCCCATGTGTGTCAGAGTAGAACTGTGTTCCATAGGGTTTTCAATGGCTGATTTTTCAGAAGTAGATCACCAGGCCTTTCTTCTGAGGCACCTCTGGGTGGACTGGAACCACCAATCTTATGGTCAGCAGCTAAGCACATTGACCATCTGCACCATCCAATCTAATTCAGCTCACCCAGATTCAAAGGGAAGGCTCACTCTCTTTTTCTATATTTGTATGTATTTATTCCTAGTATAAACACTGCCTTATTTTAGTTTTCCATGTCTTCCTCCTACCTGCTGGACAACAGTGCCTCCTTAAGGAGCAGGGATGAGGTCTTATATTTTTTTGTATTCTTAATACTCAGTGTGTTGTCTAATTAAAACAGGTCAGTCACTGAGTTTTAAAATCTTACATAATAAAAGATTGTGTACCAGGTAACTTACCTAGTGATGGAGGCTTCTTTTCACGAAGGGATTTCACAGCTGCTTCTGAAAAAGGGGAAGGTGGATGAAATTTATCTTTAGATGCAAATCCTGCTAATCATAGAACTCTGGGTTTCATCTTATTATTTTCAAATTTGTCATCCCCAGAGGCCAGGTAGAAGCTAAAAGCCCTCATCTGTCCATGAAAGACAGGGAAGGTTAAGCTGATCCCTAACTGGAATACAACTAGGAAACTTAAAAAAAAGTTAGTGGTGTCAATTTGAATTGTGTCCCTGCTCAAAATATGTATTGAAGTCCTGACTTTCATATTTGTGAATGTGATCCTGTTTGGAAATAGGGATTTACTTTTGTTAATGAGGTCACACCAGTTGTTATGGATTGAATTGTGTCCTCCCAAAGTATGTGTTGTAAATCCTAACCCCTATACCTATGGATGGACAATCTGTGGTGTAGTGGTTAAGAGCTATGGCTGCTAACCAAAGGTTGGCAGTTTGAATCCCCCAGGCGCTCCTTGGAAACCCTATGGGGCAGTTCTACCCTGTCCTCTAGGGTCATTATGAGTTGGAATTGACTGGGATGGCAATGGGTTTATACCTATGAATATAATCCCATTTGGGAATGAGTTGTCTTTGTTATGTTAATGAACAGTATTAGTGTAGGGTATCTCTTAAGTCAATCTCTTTTGAGATATAAAAGAAATTAAACAAGTAAGCTAGCAAGCAGAGATGTGCTAGAGAGATTCCAAGCCACATGAAGCAGAAGCTCAGAAGAGACAAGGACCTTCCTCCAGAGCCTAGAGAGAGAGAGAGAGAAAGTCTTCTCCTAGAGCCAGTGCCCTGAATTCAGGCTTCTAGCCTCCTGAGAAAATAAATTTCTATTTGTTAAATCCACCCATTAGTGGTACTTCTGTTATTGCAGCACTAGATAACTAAGACACCAGTATAGAATAGATCCTAAACCTAATTAACTTCTGAGTTATAAAAAGACCAGAATAGACACAGCCACACACACTGGGGAAGACATGTCATGTGAGGATCGTCTATAAGCCAAGGAATCAAGATACGCCCAAAGCTACTGACAAGGAAGGAATCAACACCGCTGAGGCCGATTTGAACTTTTAGCCTCCAGAACTGTGAGACAATACATTTCTGGTCTTTAAAGCCACCCACTTGTGGCATTTGTGTTACAGCACCACTAATGACACTAAGGGGATACAGCTGTGTTAGATATCCTGCAGACCCCAAGCGGGAAGAGCAAGAGAGAAAATACTCCCTACAGTAGTGCTGGAAACCCTGGTGGCATAGTGGTTAAGCCCTCCAGCTGCTAACCAAAAGGTCGGCAGTTCTAATCTACCAGGTGCTCCTTGGAGAAACTATGGGGCAGTTCTACCCTGTGCTATAGGGTCTCTATGAGTTGGAATTGACTTGACAGCAAGAGGTTTGAGTTTTTTTTTTTTTTGTTATACTAGTGCTGACAAATATAATACCAGCCACAAAAGCTGATAAATATGCCAGCTGCAAAAGCAATTTTCTGGTAGCTACCTTAAAAAAGGAGCCCTGGTGCATACTGGTTAAGCACTTGGCTGCTGACAGAAAAGTTTGTGGTTCGAACCCACCAGCTACTCCAAGGGAGAAAGATGTGGCAGTCTGCTCCTGTAAAGATTTCAGCCTTGGAAACCCAATGAGGCAGGTTGTACTCTCTCCTATAGAGTCACTATGAGTTGGGATTGACCTGACATTATAAAAGGCAAAAAGGTAAAGTTTTCATAATATATTTTCTTTAACCTAGTTTCTCTTTCAACATACAATCAATATGATTAATGACAGCGCAAAATACAACATAGTCAGAAGCTAGTGCATATGTTACTCTCCCAACAGACCTCAAGTTGAACTAGTGCTCTGTAGGCACATGTAACTACTGGCTATCATATTAGACAGCGCAGCCCTAGAGTGTGTTTCTCAACCTTGGATGCATATTATCATTACCTAGGAAGTTTTTAGGTCCCTGGGTGGCATAATTTGATTTGTGATTGGCTGCTAACCTACAGGTTGGTGGTTTGAACCCACCCAGTTGTGCTATGGAAGAAAGGCCTGACAAGCTGCTCTGGTAAAAAAAAGAAAAAAAAAAAAAACAGCCAGTAAAATCCTATGGAATTTTACTCTGTAACGTGTGGGATTGCCATGAGTCAGAATTAGCTCAATGGTAACTAACAAGGAAATTTTTAAAACTCCCATGCCTAGGCAGAACCCTAGACCAATTAGTGACTCAGTATCTTTGGGGATAGATCCTGGACATCAGTATAGCTAAAGCTCCCCAGGAGATTCTGAAGCACAGCCAGGGCTGACAACCTGTGATCTAAAGCAGTGATTGTCAACTGGGGGTGGTGATTTTGACCCCTAGGGAACGTTTGGCAATGTCTGAAGATATTTCTGGTTGTCATAGCTTGGTGGGGAAGGGTAGCGCTACTGGCATCTAATGGGTAGAAGCCAGGGATGCTTGCTGCTAAACGTCCTAAGGCTGTGACCTTTCGGAAGCAGATTGCCAAGACTTTCTTCCATGGCACCTCTGGGTGGGTTTGAACTGCCAACCTTTCAGTTAGTAGTCGAGCACTTAACTGTTTGCACCACCCAGCACTCCTTAAACCAAAGAAAAGGAAAAAACCAAACCTGTTGCCGTCAAGTTGATTCTGACTCATAACAGCCCTAAAGGACAAAGAACTGCCCTGTAGAATTTCCAAGGGGCACCTGGTAGATTAAAAACCCTGATCTAAAGGGAGACAGAGGTTTAAGGAGGGGAGGGTGGAGGGGGGGGAGAGGGTGTGTGTGTGTGAAAGTGTTTACAGACATACTACATGGAGATGGAACCGTTAGAAGTAGAAATTGAAAATGAAAAGAGTATACAATAATTTAACATCTTGGAAGACAGATGAAAGAATAGGATCATGAATACACGTCATGTAAATAATCTCAAACAGAAGAAAGGACATATAGTGAGGAGGTCAGGGTAGATATAAATTATCTGGAAGAAGGAGAAATAAGCAAAATATCAGAACCAGGACAGATACCACCAGGCTTTACGAAGATCTAGCATTTGTGTTAAGGTCCCTGGGTAGCACAAACGGTTTACGCTCAACTACTAACCTAAAGGTTGGCATTTCAAATCCACCCAGGGCACCACAGAAGCAAGACCTGGCAAACTGCTTCCATGAAGATCACAGCTATTGAAAACCCCCTGTGGAGCGCAGTTCTGCTCTTCACACGTGGGGTCGCCATGAGAACGAATCAACTAGAGGGCAAGTAACAATAGCATTTGTGTTCAGAACAGGTAGCCTTCTCTAAGGCCAATGTTACTTTCAGTATTTCTAAAACCCTGGAGACTTATTCCTTCCTCCCTGCACAAGTATGGACTGGTTTCTGCTCACCACGGAGTTCATCCTTGGCTCTCTCAGACAGATCCACCCGGTTCATCTTTTCAAAGACCTGGATCGCTGCCATCTCCACCCAGTAGCTGTGGCAGTTGTTGATGAGAATTTCTGCCAGTTGCTTCCCGTTGGCCTGTTCCATTTCTGCGTGTGGGAGCTCCTGCTGGTGAAATGCCTCTTGCAGGGGAAAGGACCTCAGCATAGATTTGAACTGGCCCAACTCATCCTGGTCAAGCTCTTCCAGAAGAGGCTGCAGGTTGAAATCCAGCTGTGCCGGAGATGTCATCTTGTCTCGTGAGGGAGATCTTAGAACTAAGGCGTCTGAAGTCTTAAAACCAAACAATAGTTTAATTTCGCTAGTCAAGAAAGTCTGCCTCGAGCATTGCGCTCTTTTAAAGAGCTATAGGGGATCAGACTGACAACAGCAACTCAAAAGATTAGATAGGAACCTTAGAGGGCAGTGAGTTTATGTTAGTGGGGGAGGTAGTAGGGGAAGAACAACTCGGAAAAGGAGGGTGAGAATGGTTGCACAGCTCGAAGAATGTAATCAGTGTCATGGAATTGTACATGTAGAAACTGTCGAATTGGTGCACGTTTTGTTGTGTATATTCTCAATAAAAATTATAAAAAAGGAATTAAGGGAAGAAATAGAAAAAGATAGTCACTCAGCATTCCTATGTCAACATACAGGTTGTGTTTGTGCCAGGAACAGGGCTATTCTACTGCCAAGCCTGCTCCTTCAAGAACCTCTCCAATGGAGGCAAAATTCCTGTAGAATTCTCCCACTCCTTTGCTTGACATTAAGTGGTTCACATCTTGGGAGTCTCGGACCCTTTTGGGAGTCCCTGGGTGGTGCAAGTGGTTAATGTGCTTGGCTGCTAACCAAAAGGCTGGGGATTAACGTCCACCCAGAGGCCTTTCTTCTGAGGTGCCTCTGGGTGGATTAGAACTGCCAACCCTTCAGTTAGTAGCTGAGCACTTAACCCTTTGTGCCACTCAGGGCTCCTTTGTGGTGCCCCTTTATAAAGGAATACATTCTTCCCAGATTAGTATCCAACCGAGATATAAATTCCAGGCAGAAACCCAATGATTAATCTAATTTGGCAAACCAATCCTAAATCTGGGAAATTTTTAAGGTAAACAATTAGGCTACAAATATTAATGAGTTATCGATATAGAAGGCAATTCGACCTATTCCTGGCACTCAACATACTTTTTCCATGTAAGATTCGTTTCCTTGTTGTTAATAGAAATCACATTGCATGCAGAACTTTTTTATCCCCATTCATGATTCTGAGTCAGTCATGAAATCAAATTATGCCTTAAGAACTAAAACAGAATACGTCTGTATAAGAATATATTGATGGAATTATCAGACAAACCTGGAACAGACTGTAAGAGTTGGACTAATCTTACACTGTTGTAGATCAGTTCTGAACAGTTTACCCAAAATGAGGGAAGACATTTAGATATCCACTTTACAATGTAAGTAAGTTTCAGATGGAAACCTATAATAATTATCAGAAATAGTAAAGACGTTTCATTTAAAAAATGGTACGTTGAGACAACGAATAGTTAAAATGTGCACATTATGTAAATTTAAGAGGGTTTGTCTGAATAACTTCCTTCAGATTTCATATTTTTCTCCTTTTTTAGAAGGGAAATGATCACAATTGTCCCCCTTTTCCTTTCCACATTTATATGCTACTCAGTAGTTCAGAGTTTAAAGCCCTTTCTGTAAGGGTTAAATGAGGCCAGCAGGTATGGATGATACCTTTACAAAGTGGGGAAACGTGGTTTAGAGCGATTAATTGCCCTTTTTCTCCCAGCTGTCAAGTGTTAAAGCCAAGATTCTCATCAACACAATCTTATTCCAGAAGCTGAGATCTTAATCTCTCTGCTGATTTAAAGAAATGCAGTCCTAATATTCCCAGTAACTATATGGACAAAATAAGGACAATTTGGAAGAGAAAAGCCAATGGACTCACAAACAAAAGGAATTCTGTAAAGCTAGAGATAGATTAAGTAAAATGTGTCAAAATCCAATGGATTTTTAAGGCTGGTGATCATTATACAACGCTCACTTATAATCATGAGTGGAAAAAAGAAAGTTCTACAAGCAACATGATTCCAACTGCAGCAAGGAAATGAATCTTACATGGAAACTGTGTTGTTGGGTGCTATAGATTCGGTTCTGACTCACAGAGACTCCATGTGATAGTAGAATTGCCCACTAGGGTTTCCTAGGCTGTAATCTTTACGGAAGGAGGAGCCCCGGTTGTTCAGCTGCTAACCAAAAGGTTGGTGGTTTGAACCCACCCAGCAGCTCCTCAGGAGAAAGACCTGACCATCTGCTCCTGTAAGATTACAGCCAAGAAAATCCTATGTGGCAGTTCTACTCTGTAACACAGGGTCGTTATGAGTTGGAAACTGACTCACCAGCACGTAACAACATGAAGAGAGTGTTTTTAGAAGATATTGACGTGTAGCTAAGAGAAACATACAAAAAGTCATTTAACAATATTATATAAATTATAACAACAACAACAAAGTAAAGACAAGCACAGTGAGTACAAATGGAAGCGATACAGCACAGGAAGTCCATACCTGATTCTTTACATAGGTTTGATTGTAGATAGAGAGTATGGTTCATATAATTGCAAAACCCAAGGAACACTCGTGGCACAACGGTTAAGCACTTGGCTGTTAACTGAAGGGTCGTTGGTTTGAACCCACCATCAGCTCCATGGAAGAAAAGGCCTGGTGATCTGCTCCTGTAGATTACAGCCTAGAAAACCCTACGAGGCAGTTCTACTCTGTCACATGGGGTCATTGTGAATTAGAATCGATTCAATGGCACCCAACAACAATTGCAAAACAACCAGCTAGCATTAGGGTTTTCCCTAAGATTCTAAAACGTAGCTTAAACCAAAACACACCCCCAACACCACACCATACCCCACCACACCACCCCCCCCACCCCACCCCCACCCCACACACACACCAAACCATTGCTATTGAATCAATTCCAACTCAGTGACCCTATAGAACCACAGGGTTTCCAAGGCTGTAATCTTTATGGAAGCGACTGCCACATCGTTCTCCCGAGCAGTGGCTGGTGGATTCGAACCGCTGACCTTTCGGTTAGCAGGTGAGCGCTTAGCCACTGCACCACCAGGGCTCCAAAGGTAGCTTATATAAACCAAAACACTTTCCATATTTATAACCATGTGGTAAAACAGAAAGATGAGTCTAGAAGTCTAGATTGGACGTGGGAAATTGGTAGCTCCGAATTCACCCAGGCGATAGAGCAAACCATCTGAAAGATGACTTGGCGCCAATTCTGAGTGAAATTAAAGGGGACAAAGAAAGGAGGGGTTTCCGCATAGATACAAAAACACAGGCATATGCATTTCAATGGTGACGCCAACCTCCCATTTAAAAAGATAATACAGTGAAGCCTGTGAGATGAAGAACTCCACCAACGGGAATGCCTTGTTCTTCTGGGTCTTGCAAGATTGCTGCCTTTGACAGAACGCAGTTTTACCATTTTTCTATCGCTCTCTGTTAGTGGAAAATATTTGAGTTTTCCTTCTCTGACAGGTTTCTGCCTCACACAGGTTCTGGCTTTCACAGGTTTACTGTAATAATAAAAAGCTGTTGGCAATTATAAAAAGGAGTCAGTGGGAGAGGCTCCCGCCAGCTCTGTTTCAACCTTTGTACATAGAGGAGTTTGACTTGAGACCTCAGTAACCCTTCAAAGATGGACTTTCAAACACTCAAAGAAAGGGAGGAGGAATTTTGTCATAGAAACTCGGCTAACGTTACTAACAGTTGAGCGAAGACTAGAGAAACAAGTAAAAAAAGCAGAGCTGTTACTCACCTTCCCCAGCTCCTGGATCTACTCCCCAGCTACCAGCAGCACTCCAAGCACAGAAAAGCTCCCATAAAAGGGTTTCTCTTCCTCCCGAGCTCCACGTGATCCTAGACCAGTGATTCTCAGCTTTGCCTACACATCAGACTCACCTGGGCCATCATTTCAAAGTATCCAGGCCTGTGCCCAGTCCCCAGAGATTCTGATTTACTGTTTAGATCAGGGAGCCCTGATGGTGCAGTGGTTAAGGCGCTTGGCTGCTGTTGTAGGGTAAAAACATCACAAAGTTTAGTAAAGCAAAAATAAAGTTTTATTTGGCATATATTCAAAAAGGCAAAAGTGGGAAACAGACAAGCATGCTGCTAGAGCCACGTCTGTCCAAGTCCAAAGAATACTACAGAATAGATAAGAATGGGAAAACGGACAAGCATGCTGCCACAGCCATGTCTGCCCGAGTCCCAAGAATAGTTACAGAGCCATCGGTATATACTAACATTACAAATGGGCAAAACCATTGAAAGCTTCCCGTTTTCACAGATTGGCTAGAAACTGTGATCCTACCTTTTGAATGGTCTTTCTTAACAATCATCAGTACAGGTTTCAGTAACGACAGTCAGAAGGGGGTCTTCATTGGTCCAACAAATTTTCTATTTACTAAATGCTAATAGAAAAAGAATGAAAAGTCTTTTGTGTCCTGTCTGATTGGCTTTATGTGAAAGGTTCCCTAAAAGATAATTTCCAAGATTGTCCCATCTTTTGTCTTTAGCTCAGGGCCCAGTTGATGTGTCCTTGTGAGTCCTTGTGAGCCCAGCTTCAGCTGGGTCACATTCTCTATTCTCAAGGAGAGGAAATAATGATTCCAATATTATTTTCTAAATCAATGCTAACCAAAAGATTGGTGGTTCGAACCGACCAACTGCTCTTTGGGAGAAAAATGTGGCAGTCGGCTTCCGAAAGGATTTTAAAAAAATGGTTGCCCTCAAGTCAATTCTGACTCATAGCCACCCTACAGGACAGAGTAGAACTCCCCCATAGGGGTTCCAAGGACTCACATCGACTCAACCTTTTGGTTAGCAGCTAAGCTCTTAACCACTATGCCCTTGGAACTCCTATGGAGCAGTTCTACTCTGTCCTATGGAGTTGCTATGGGTCGGAATTGACTCCAGGGCAATGGGTTTGGTTATTGGTTTTGATCATCTATCTCCTATCTGTCTGTAATCTATCATCAGCTCAAACTTGAAAAGCCTATAAACCATTACTGTCCAATAAACATTTATGAGCCATTTATGACAGTCGTACAACATGATGAATGTAATTAATGTCACTGAATTATACATGTTAAAAATGATGAAGTGGAAAATGTTTTGATATATATATGTATGTGTGTACATATTTTATATATATAATATGTGGCTATTAGGAAAAATTTATTGTGGTATATATAAAAACAAAGTAAAAAGAACCAGTTAAATATAATTTTTATAATATATTTTGTTTAATCTAATATAGCCAAATGTTACTTCAACATGTAGTCAATATAAAAACAATTAATGCGATAGTTTACATTCAATTTTTCATACTAAGGCTTCAAAATCCGATGTGCATTTTATTTTT